TCAAAATCGTACCAATCTCTTATAAAAGCCAAAGAAATGTAATCTATGATGAGAATATCGCGCGAATAGTACATATTCCAAACTCGACAATATCAGTGTTGCTTTTTCTAAATTGCAAAAGTTGAAAGACTTGTTCTTATGGTGTTGGCTATAGCATCACACAAACTGACGATTTGTCTGATAATATTTGTCTAAGTGAATAGAATGAATTCAGTCGAGGGTGAAGTGAGTCGTAGCGACAAGCGTTACTTGTTTTTTTATGTTTATTCTATTCCTTTTGATTTATTGAAATATATGCGTACTGTAAACAATTATGAACTTTTTACTCGTCATTCAACGATAATTCGAAAAACTTTTGTTTGTCAAAACATGGAATGGTTATGGAAGTGGACAAGTAATGGTATTCAATTAATTACAACTCTTAAAAAACTGAGAAACGTCGAGACTCTTCGCTGTTTGTGTGTCGGAATAAATATAGGTCATCACTTTCATAAAGACATACATAAATGTTCTCTTTGTTAATTTTTATTTGTCTTCATCTTTGGTTTATAGAAGGAGGAAACAGTAGGAACTTCAGTCTTGAAGTCCTATCAACTCTTGAAAGTCTTATGAAGTCTTTGCAAAATTGGAAGTCTTAAAGTCAGCTGTTTCCTCCGTTGGGTTTACATTAATATTTTCCTTCTATATTTTAAGTTTTAAATAGAAAAAGTAAATAGATTATATATTGTTTGAAATTTTAGAATCAACCAGAAATTGTCGTAACTCCAACATGTACTAATTTATGTCTTCATCTTCGTTCGTTGACTTTTCAATTTCAACAACATACTCCCTACGGGAGTGTAACACATTACTCACCATTGGAAATAATTCTGGATGTATCATCTCATCTTTCCTATCTCAATGTGAGATGGAGAGATCTTTCTCATTGTTCTGGTAGATATCCAATGATCACACATGTTCATCTCACCATTTATGGATGAGAATGTAGAAATTTTGATGTAAATCGATTAAATATACTTATACCTAAAGTGCATTACCTCACTATTTATGGACAAGAACTGATAAGAGAAAAAGAAATGGTTGATCTTCTATTGGAATTGCTGATCAATAATGATTATTTTCGTGAATTAATACGATTACAAATAAATAAAGATGGTAAAGTCACAATTAAACCACATATAAAAACAAGAACTAAAGAGGCAATTATAGCAAAGATCGATCGCTTACAAGACTCAACTATGACTTGTATTGAATTTTCTTATCATAACCAGCTGAGTATTTGGCTGTGCTAAAAGAACAATTTATTGTTGCTATGCTGTTTTCTCTTAATTATTTTGTTGATTTTTTTGTAAGAATAAACTTGTTTAATTTGTTTTTCAAATAGATATATATATCTGTTAGAATTTTCTAATTAAAAATATCATGGATCATCATTAAGTGAAGACTTCCAGATCGATAATAAAGAAATATTTTGATCCATACAATCAATTCTAGAATGTTCTATTCGAATTTATTCAATAGGTTTTCATTGTGTTTCAGAAACCGACTCAAGGATTTTTATAGAGCAAACTTCTCTCGACAAAACCTACTCTGTTATAGTTCTTCAGAATATATACATTTTGACATCATCGAATTGACTTTTTCGGAAGTTTTATCAGAAAAAATGATATCTTAGTATTTTGACTATAGCATCGTTATTTTTTAATGAAGTTCACAACTTTTTTATACCAAAAGGATCAGCAAAAAAAACTATAAAATCTGGTAAAAAAACTTGTCAGCCCGATTCCAAGAGGGGTCGAAATATGGAACTCACAAACTCTGAGCCTTATAAATTTAATATATATTGTCAGAGGTTTTAAAATAAGTTATTAAAAAAAATACTAAATAGACAAGTAACGCTCGTCTGTGGACTCGCTCAGCTCTTTCTCGTAGAAGTGCTGTTTCTGGACTCTTCCCAAATTATTCACTTATCTATACTATTAATAATAACTAGTTCCAGATTGAAATTCTTGTTTTTAAATTTCCTCTAGTGAAGTTCTTTCCTAAACTATGATGATATTAGCATGTTTTACTACTCCTTAGCATTGCTAGCTTATTAACACAAATTTATCATAGCTTCTCGTTTTTTTATTTGAAAAATCTTTGATCAAGTTTTCCAGAAAAAACACTAATAATAGTAATACTTAGAAAAAAATCAAAACAGACTTCGGATTCAGGTTCTTGACCCTCAATTTCCTCTTTTTGAGTGTTGTAAAAAATATTAATGATTAATAATTAAAACAGACCCCAGATTTGGATTCACCACCTTCGGTCAAGTTTTGTCGAAAATATTAATAATTAAAACCGACCTCGGATTCGGATTGTCCACCCTCAATTATCTTTGGTCAATTTTTTTTGAAAAAAATTAATAATTAATAATCAATTAATTATTAATTAATTAAAACTGACCTCGGATTTGGACTCTCCACCATCGACTATCTTTGGTCAAGTTTTATAGAAAATATTAATAACTAGTTAATAATTAATTAAAACTGACCTCAGATTTGGATTCCTCACACCCAATTACCTTTGGTCAAATTTTATGGAAAATAATCCTTTTTATTTTCACCTTATTCTTGGACCAATTACTGAAGTGCGGACATACAAGCAATCAAGCAAGCAAACAATTTATTCTTGCTAGACTCTTTTCTACGAGAAAGAGAATATTTAACCGTCATTATCGTATGCGTAATATGTAACTCTGCAACTAATACAACACATCGTAATCCTGATCCAATCAAAATAACATTACGAAAATATTGTTGGTCGTGCAAACAGTACGCAAAAGTTAACCGACAATGTATTATCTCAATGTTTAACACAACTACTTGATGCTTCATTTGAAAATCCAAATATTCACCGTGAAGTTGTGAAAAATCCAGTAAAAAGTGTTATTTTTTCTGACCCTTGCCTTTTTAATATGTTCTCGATGCGTTCATAAGAATTTTATATTTCATGCGCAACTTTCGGGATCCCAATGTTACCAGTAGAACACTAGCTAAACGAATACCTTTATATAGAAATTCATAAAAAATAAACCCATGAATGAAATCTGTTATTGAATCTAAACTTAAATGTAGATTCGGTCAAGAGAGACAATAATGAAGAATAGAAACAAGACTTTTTTTTATCAAGGTTAAGAAAGAATAAATGTTAAGTAATGATTGTATTAAGCGACCTCTAGTCATATTGATATCGAATGGTAAAATAATCTTTGTCCAGTTCTACTTTAGAAAAAAAAAACCCAAAAATAAGATAAATCTTGATTATTTATATTCCAATATAGAATTTGTTATGAATTCAAATTTGATTAAATCATCAATTGAAAATGTTTCATTATGTGTTTATATTGGAAATACATGTTCATTTGATGATGAAATTCTAATAAATTATTGTTCACAATATGGTGAAATAAAATCATGTTCAATTGATAAATGTCCATATGAAAAACGATTATTTTGTGATTATCGTATTATTGAATTTGCTAAAAAACAACAATTAGAATATTTTCTTAATAAATCTTTACATGAAATTGATTCAATAAAACTTGATATTAAATTATATAAAAATCTGTTAGATAATAATGATATATTAAATATTGATCGTAAAATTTTTATTGGACCAATATTTAATTCTAATGATATTAATTTAATTGTAGAATTTTATAAAATAATTGATCCAAGATTAGAATATAATATATCAAAACAAGATAAACAAATATATATTTTATTTGAATTTAGTAATCGAGAATATGTTCGTACAATAATTCAACAAAAAACAATATTAAAAACAATTGATAATCAAATATTTACAATTCATAAAGCTATTAATCCAATAGAATTTATTAAAAAAAAAATTTCAGTAACAAATAGTCAATATCAAATTTGTATTAATGGATTAAATGATAAAATAACGGAAACAATGTTAATGTAAGAGATAAGAAAAAATAAAAACTATTTTATTTTTGAGAAATATTTTTTTTTAGTGATTATTTTGATAAACGAGCATCAGTTGTTGCTTGTCATATTCTTTCAATTGATCGAAAACGTGCAATTATTGAATTTGAAAATGAAAAATTTGTTCAAAAATTTCTTGATATGCGTTTTATTAATTTCAATGGAATAAATCTTTCTTTAAATAAAGTATCAAATAATCTTACATCACTCTTACCATCTAATACTACAATCGATAATCAACAACAATATAATAATGATCATCCAGATTATTTACATGAAACAACTCGATCGAATATTATTACATCGGATTTAACTCATCCTTCTCCTATTAGACAAAATCAAACAATTTTATCTGATTTATCAACAGTTCAACAAGTCAATAGTTATCAACAACAACAACAACAATCAATCTCAACTTTTAATTGTCAACCATCTCCTTTAGTAACAGAACCAATATCTGATTCTTCACCAGAGTATGTTTCATATTTTTTTAAACAATAGTTAATATCTATATTCAAACAGAGGAAGAACTTAAGTCAAAAATCAATATCATTTATTCGAGAATTAAGATCCAACATTATCATAAGTTGAGCCAGTGTTTTTTATACAGACTTTCTTTTTCCTAGGAACGATTTAAAACTCTAAAAGGGAGAACACCTATTTTTCAGAGCAGAAACACATGCAGTATGTTACAATTATCACAAACTCTAGAACGGTCAATCCAGTTTTCTAAAGAGCTCCACCTTCTCATCTCCCACAGTGGACACCTAGGCGACAAAATCGATTTTCGAGATTCGAACCCATATCGTAGCTAACATTGAAGCTACTATAGTCCTGCATTTAAATGCATCTTGGATGGTGCTCTACACCGTCTATGCATTAAATAGCAGGTACGCAAAAGTACGTAAAATAGGTGAATATCATTAATGGAATCATATAAGTACAATCTATATTTCAAATTGACAATCTAGCCGTATTCTTTAGTTATTATACTAGCGAGCGCCCGTGCATACTGCACGGATGCTTTTTTTCTGGAAAGTTTCACATCTATCCTTTAGCCTTGATTTGGTAATAGACAATCAGACAAATCCCATTATATATATCGCGAGACCTCATTCCGTTATTCCTTTATCCCTTATGTTTCATGCAGCTTCATCTACTTATCCGCTATACCCTGATCTCCTTATACTCCTTTAGTTTTATCCGTTATGTCCCTTTAGTCTTAGCCTCTTATCCCTTTACCCTTATATCCTTATTCCCTGCTCCTTATTATAGTAGGACTTGAGGACCTATGGGCATCACAATATGGCAGCACTTATAGTCTTCCCTATATAGCTTTATTTAACCTTTGATCTGGGCACAGAGACATCAGACAGACACTGAACATAATATATATAGATAGTTATACAGTGTTATGTATTTCCTATATATTACTGGCCGCTTCGGGCTTCTTGAAGTTCTTTAGACTATAATAAGATCAAAAACTTCACATCAGCGTAGTGAAAAATGGTCACTGGTCTATAATGCAGTTCGTTTGCGGGATTTTAAATTCAGGTTTTAGTATGTTATTTTGTAGAACGTATTATCATCTATCTTCAATGAATGCACACTTAAACTCTTGTCGAAATACTTGATTTTTTTACAGTATCTTGTAGCGCAAGGCCGTAGTTGCTCATAAGGTTCACCTGGAAAATCAACTTTCAAATTTCAACTTGAAACTTTGTGCGGAGAAAGGTCTCAATGCGACTAGTTTATTCTGAGAGTTTCAAATATCTTGATTGCTTCTATCCTTAAATATGATCATCTAACATTTTGTGCTATAAGGAATACGAAGGAGGGTATTTTTTCTTACACTCATACCTCGGGATAGAAAGAACTTAAAAATCTGAAACTTTCAGAATAAACTAGTCTCATTGAGACCTTTCTCTACACAAAGTTTCAAGTCGATATTCGAAAGTTGATTTTTCACGTAAACCTGAGAGGAACCACAGCGTTGTGATAAAAAATGCCGTAAAAATCAAATATCTCGATAGAAATAAGCTAGAAGCACGGACTTTTTCCAGGGTGTTCATAGCTCACTAGTAACTCAAATATAATTTAGATTGAAAAAAAGCTTATTAGAGAAATCGTTTAGGAGCTAAAATCTGGACCTAACACGTTTTCTTGAACTTGATTATACTAAAACAAAATATGTTAAGTAAAAAAGTCTCTAACAAAAGATAGTTTCTTTCCAAGAACGAACGATCGGTCTTATTCATTTCTGTATTTCAAACAGAAATTTTTTCTTAGTCGAGTTTTAGTTTTTATTTGTCTTGTTACTATTCGTTCGCTATTTATTTTCTTTTTTTTTCTAAAGTTCTATGATTATTATTATTATAAGCATCGATTTAACTAAAAAATAAGTCCTTGCTGAACATCTATTATACCTACAATCGAACTCAAAGTGGAACAAAGCGTCTCTATAGTCTAAGAAACACTGTTATTGATTATCTCGGAAAGCTACAACTTGATCAGTTTTGGTCATTTGACGATTGTGCGAAATAAAAATCTCACTAGTCATCATCTTTGATATACTTTACAAAAATTCGAAATTGCGTTATTTGGAACACTGAAAAATGTTTTCCAGCCATTCAAATGTCAATAAACGTCAAAACCTCGTTGTTAATGTCTTATTTTTCATTCCTAATGAACTATAGAAAATGAGTCTGACGCCTATTGCCTTTGACTGTTATGGAAATGTACATATTAAATATTGGTCACGGTTACTAAAGCATATTACGGTCGCCTTTGCCAGCATTGCAATAATTATCGGAGGCATTAATATAATTGGTCTATACTCTCACTGTCACGCATTGAGCCGAAAAACATCACCTTATAACTTCCTGTATTTCTTTTAATTATGTTATTTAAATAGTATTAATGAATGTGGATGGTCATCACCACCTCGAAATGTAATTAATCATTGTCTTCCAATAAATCAGTCAGTTGAACATGTATCATCAAATCCATGTCTTAGAACAATGAATATAAATATTGATCAAGAAAATCAAACAAGAATTATTGAAACAGATACAAAATTAATTAAAAATGATATATTAAAATTTATTGAACAATTTCAAAATGAAATTGATCAAATAAAAGATGAATATATGATAAAATATACAAAAGATCGAACAAATATTGAACATGAAATGAATCGATTAATAAATGATCAACGAATAACATTTAATAAAGTAAAACGATATTTATATGATAATCGACGACGTTCAAACAAATCACATGATTATCAACGAAAACATATTTGATTATTTTTAAATCATTTATTTCACCTCATATATATATTAGTTTGCTATTTTTTCTAATAGATTTTTTGGTTTTTTTTCTCTCATGATACTCAGAACTTTTGTGTATTGTTTTTTTTCTGGTATTGAAAGCATTGTATTAAAAACAATTTGATTGATCTGAATTGATTTCTTTTAAAGATACTCCTCTTTCGAATTGAAATCGAACGATATCTATCGTATCTAAATCAGATAATTATAAGTAGACTAAATGTAAAATCGAACTTTTTGAGATAGGGAGAATCTTGAAGATTGTTCTATTCGAGATCAAAATACTGTTTAAAGAAGATTTCTATTACAAATCAATAGAGAACACTTCAAAAAATATACATCAATGAAAAACAAAATAGACGAAAAAAATTTATTTTCACGTCCAGAAAGTGAAGAGGGTGGGGATGCCCTTGAGACGAATTTAAAATAAAATAGGATAGAAAAATCTGATGCAATATCGATAGATGTCGTGACAATAACTTAGCAATTGACAATGTGATCTCTATTCGTTAAACCTTTTTTTTCCAATAAAAATAGTATGACTCAAAGATTTACTTGCAGAATGAACAAATTCTTTTCTCACATGGCCCATTTTGTTCTGTTCTTCCTCCCTCCATCTTACTCATTATATGACATTAGACGTAAAAAACGTTGCATCATCCATTGCATAGTTCTGAGTGCAGTATAATATATATATGGTTGCATCATTTTAAAAATGAAGCAAGAAGAATCAATAATTGACAATAGTTTATTTCTATGGCGATCTCTATTGATAACGAAAAACGTTTGGCTCTATTTCAATCAATTGGTCTCAATGAACAAAAAGCTCGAGAAACATTAAAAAATCATGATATAACACATTTACTAGAGGCAACTATTAACGAAGTTAGCATTTTCTTTTTTTTCCCTCTATTTTCATTACTTAGTTAAATTTTAATTCAGGCTAAAACAAATTTACCAAATGAAAATCAAATTTCAAAATCAATTGGAAATCTTTTATATGCACTATCAACAAAGAGTAAACAACAAATACATCATTTGCATAAACATTTAATCAAATATATTTGTGAAGAAAAAATTAAAAATGAACAACAATTAACAGGTATTTTTAAGAAAAACCAAAAAAAAAACGAATTTCTTTTATAAATAATAAATATTTTTCTTAGCTGCTATTGATTGTCTTTTAACAAATCCAACAGAACCAATTGATCAAGAAGCATTAGAACAATGTGCAGGTATTGGAGTCATCGTTACTTCAGATGATATTAAACGAGTGGTAAGTTGTTTCTATTATGTCCATTGAAATAATTGAATTATGATGAGTTTAGATAGGAGAAGTAATTGAGCAAAACAAAACAAAATTACTTGAACAAGGTCATGATTATCCTATAAGTACACTTTTAAATGAAGGTCGACGTCGTTTAAAATGGGCAGATGGAAAATCACTTAAAGATGAAATGGATGCTGAAGTAAAAAAATTTTTTTCAAAATAAAATTTCGAAATAAATTTTTTGTATATAATTAGTTACTTAATTTGCTTGGTCCTAATGATCGTTCATCGAAAAATACAACAAAAAAACAAAATGTAAATTTTATTTATTGTTTTTTTTTTTGTTCAAAATATTTGTTAAAATGAATTATTTTTTTTCTTAGAATGTATTGTCATCGACTGAAAAATCGAAATCATCTTCTACAACCATTAATGGGGGTAAGTTTTAAATTGATCTTTTTTTTTTTTTTCTTATTGATAATTGTTTAATTTTAGTTGAAAATAATACAAAAATACATTCATTTGCAGACTTAGTTGGTGAAGCTTTAAATTTTCATAAACCAGGTTAAATTTAAATAGAAAATTTCTTTTGTTTTTTTCATTAGAATAAATTTTGTTTAGGTGAAAATTATAAAACAGAAGGTTATGTAATGACACCAAAAACATTTGATCTAATGCGAGAACATTTAAAAAAAACTGGTGGACAAGTAAATTCAAACCAAAAAAAAAAATAATTGTTAATTTAATCTTTGTTTTTTTTTGTTTAATTGAGGTAATAACAAGATTTCCACCTGAACCTAATGGAATTTTACATATTGGTCATGCAAAAGCAATTAATTTTAATTTTGGTTATGCTAAACTCAATAATGGAATTTGTTATTTACGTTATGATGATACAAATCCAGAAAAAGAAGAAGAAAAATTTTTTACTGGTATTCTTGATATTGTCAAATGGCTTGGTAATTTTTTCAAAAATAAAAATATATTAAACTTTTTTTTTTTTCTATAAAAATATTTTTCAAATTTAGGTTATGAACCTTATAAAGTAACTCATGCATCTGATCATTTTGATCAATTATATGAATGGGCAAAAGAATTAATTCGTCGTGATTTAGCTTATGTATGTCATCAAAAAGGTGAAGAATTAAAAGGACATAATGTTCCTGAATCACCATGGCGTTATAGACCAATTCAAGAATCTTTACAATTATTTGAAGTAATAGTTTTTTTTTTTAATTTTGTTTAAATAAGTATATATTTTAAGGATATGAAACATGGAAAATTTGCTGAAGGTGAAGCAACATTAAGAATGAAATGTGTTATGGAAGATGGAAAACTTGATCCTGTTGCTTATCGTATTAAATATGCTCATCATGCTAAAAGTGGTGATAAATGGTAAGAAATTCATTCTAATATAGAATTATTTTCAAATGTGATGACAAGGGAAAATGAAATATTGAATATAGATTTATAATGGGAAATAATTCGAATAATCTCATATATTGAAAAATTTTTTGTTTCTTATAATTAAATTAAAGTTCGATATATTGTTATGAATTATATTGTGTTTTAAATAGGTGTATTTATCCAACATATGATTATACACATTGTTTGAATGATTCAATTGAAAATATAACACATTCATTATGTACAAAAGAATTTCAATCAAGGTAACAAAAAAACAAAAAAAATTTGTTTTTGTTTTTTTAATTTTATGAATAAAATTTGTGTAGACGTTCATCATATTATTGGTTATGTAATGCTCTTGATTTATATTGTCCTGTTCAATGGGAATATGGTCGATTAAATCTTGAATATACAGTTGTATCAAAACGTAAAATTGTTAAATTAATTGAAAATAATGTTGTTCGGTATGTATGAAATATTTTTATTTTTTAAAATAAAATCTATTAAATTTAAAAATTATTAATCAATAGAGATTGGGATGATCCACGTTTATATACATTAACTGCATTGAGACGAAGAGGTTTTCCACCAGAAGCAATTAATTTATTTTGTGCACGTATTGGTGTAACTATGTCACAAACAACTCTTCATCCAGATATGCTTGATGCATGTGTACGTGAAGTACTTAATATAACTGCTCCAAGGTATTAATTCATCTTATTTGAATTTTTGGAAAACTAATTTAATTGTCGACTTTTATTTTGTTTTAAGAGTAATGGTTGTTTTAGAACCATTAAAAGTAACGATAACGAATTATCCATATGAAAAGATGCAAGAATTAACTGTATTGAATTATCCTGGAGAAGAATCTCGTGGTTTTCATACAATTAAATTTGATTCGATTATTTATATTGAAAAATCAGATTTTAGTGAAGTAAAATAAATTAATCGAAATCGAAAAATAAATAAATTTTTACTATTTTATTTTAGAATCCAACTAAAGATTTTAAACGTTTAACACCAAATCAACCATGTGGATTAAAACATATTGGTTTAGTTATTACTGTTCAAGATATTATTAGAGTGAGTTATTAAAAAACAAAAAAAAGGAATTTTGCTACTGTAAATTATGACTATTTACGAAAATTGAAAGACAAAAAAAAATTGAAACAATGCATTTTGTAAGATAACTTCTCGTATAAATAAACATTCCAATTTTTTCTTTCAAATTACAATAGTAAAAATACAAAAATTTCTCATGTTTTTTTTTTCAAAGATTATTTCACTATTTTGGTCAATATAATGTAGAATATTTTGAATATTAAAAAATAGGATTCGAATAATGAACCAATTGAATTGAAAGTAAAATGTGAAAAAGTAACGGATGAAGGTGTTGTGAAACCTAAAGGTTTTATTCATTGGGTATCTCATCCAAATAAATGTGAAGTTCGAATATATGAAAGACTGTAAGTTTATTTTAATATTATATTTAATTTATTTTGAAATATTAAATTTAATTTTTAGTTTTCTTCATTCAAATCCTGAAGATCGAAAACAAGTTCCAGATGGTTTTCTTTCGGATATAAATCTAGTATGAATAGACTTTTTGTTTTTATTTGGAATTTTCTATGTTTGAGTTTTGTTTTCTTCATTTAAGAATTCATTAACAATTAATTCAAATGCTTTTGCTGATGATGGCATTAAAAATGCTAAAGTACTTGATAAATTTCAATTTGAACGTGTCGGATATTTTAGTGTTGATTCTGATACAACAAATGAAAAAGTAAATCTTCAAATAGAAATCAATTATATTATTTCAAATTTTGTTTTATCTTTTTTTTTTAAATTTTAGTATGTATTTAATCGAACCGTAACATTAAAAGAAGATAAACGAGTATTATAATCAAACATTTTTTATGCAGATAAACTATGCTTTGTTGTATATGTTTAAAACTATTGAATATTGTCATCGTTTGTATATTATAAATAAAATATTTCTTTTTTCTCAATCGAATGTAAAGATCAACAAACATTATTTTTCAATAAATTCAAACAAATCATTTTATTTTATTTTAGTTTTTGGTTAATTCTTGATTGAGAACACTTCTTTTGTCAATTAAGAAAAAATGTCTGCAAAGCAGAATTAAGAGGGGAAGGAACGAAAATATCCGCATAATGGAATGTTCGAGTAAGTCGAATTGTTGATAATGACTTGAATATTGGTGGGGAACAAGTGATTATTCATATAATGATGACTTAACACGATTAAGTATAGGAACTGCAGCAGCACTACCATTTTCTCGTCTAAATTTTTTAACTTGTTAATCATTTAATAATGATATCGGTGCTGTGGGTTCTTCTTCAATCCTTTCTTTGATGCGTTCATATACATTTAAAGACGTAGATGAAATTAGCCAAAGATTCGAGCAAAACCAGCTAGGATTCGCTTATGAACTTGTTCCAAGTGCAACTCGACGAGCTCTATCTCAATATTTCCCCAAAAACGTTTTCTACGTTTGCTTGATTGAGAAAATGTTATTATTACCTGCTGGATGTGGCCAAAAGTATCGACGTTTGTACAAAAGTTGTGATGCTCTGATCAAATCTATCAATCTAATAGAAGAAGAGAGGGGTTTGATCTATTCTAGGATAGGCTTTCGTTTTCCAAGCCTTGTGGCTCAGAGATGGGACCGGTTCGGTTTTTAACCGAACCGAGCCCGCCGACCGTAACCAAAATCGGTTCGGTTGGAAAATTTTAAAAATTCGGTCGGTTACGTTCGGTTCGGTTGTAAAGAACAGAAATCATTTTTTTAATTTGATTGCAGCGGATTTTCCAGTGAGATATAACAAAGTAAAAAAAAGAGCACCACCGCACTAGAGTTAAGTCGATTGACTGCACGAAATGCAGGCAGTAGCCGACTTATTGCTTGCGACTCGCTTATTTGCCATAGTAAATCCTTCTTCTTCTCAACACATGAGTCACGATTCTAGTCAGTTTTGCATTCCTAGCGCTCGAGCATAATTTAGAATCGGAAAAAAGTTTGACGAGATCGTAAGAACGTCATAAGTGCACATCTGAAATCCGTTTCTCGGGATTCGGTGTAATCTGAGATATTAAAGAAATCGAAAGTGATATTTAACAACTGATACTTTCCTTATATGGCTATGGATGATTCAGTCTTACATGCCAATTCAGATCAAAGATGCTAAATGCATATATTTTTTCATTAATTATCGCCTTGTGAAATTTACAATAGTACATCATGAGGTCTACAACGCATAGATATGTTTTTCCTAAGGGCGGTCAAACAATCGAAATAAATATGCAGAAAAACGATAATTAACAGCTGATGATGGTCATTTATATTCAAAAGTGATTCACTAGCAGAAAGTCAGCAAATTTAGGTGTTATTCATATAAAATTCCTTGAGCTTTCATATCTATTATCATCGGTGGTAGCTCATCGCGTCTGCAGTCAGTCGACTTTTCAACTCGAGCTTGTTCAGGGTGGAATTCTACCATTCAATTTGCTATTCGTATTCAATTTGATGTTGATGGTATTCAAACGTGGTTGGTAATATTCAATTTGTTTTTGCTAATATTCAGTTTGTTAAGTAAGTATTTTCTTCTAACTGAACACTAGAAAAAAATTTGGTCGGTTACCTTCGACTCGGTCGAAAACTTTTCACAATTCGGCCGGTTACGTTCGGTTCGGTTAGGAAAAAATACCAACCGATCCCATCTCTGTTGTGGCTCTACTGTCTTTGATGATTTTACATCCGGTTGAAGATAATAGTATAGAGCAATATGGGGCTTTTTTGAATGACCACTTTCATTTGAATATAGATCAATCGATGGTTACCATTTGATGAAAAACATGGTATTATTCTACATCGACAAAATCGTATCGACGATCGACCTGGCTTCTATTGTACTAGTTGAATTGGATGAGGAGCTCGAGTTGTTATTAGTGAAACTACAACAGAATGTATGGGAACTTTTATTTTTACTAATAGTAACTTTCATTGTTTATTCTTTTTATTTCAATATTCTAACCCATACAGTTGCTAAACGAATTATGGAAGATATTGAACAAGGTCATTTGACTAATTTATATGCTGTTAAATCAGGAGGTGATGGTTTAATATCACTTGCTAAGTCTCTTCAAATTCGATGTATTTCATATAATGATTAGAAAAAACTAGACGAATATGAAACAAATCTTGGTCATGCTAAAGAAGAACCACATGAAAAAATACTCAATATTCAAAGAATGTTTGAATTAACTGCTTGTTAAAAAAAACAACAACAAAGAACTCATGTTTAAATAGTTTATGTGTTTGAGCACTTGTTAGGTTTTCTTTTTTTTCTTGTCTTCCAGATAATAATTTGTTGATTAACAATACATCAAATCAATACTTTTCCTAGTGTTTGATATCTTTATTTCATATAAAAACATGTTACGTTTAATACCTTCGTTCATTCTGCAATCCCCCTTTTATAATATATCGTTCAGCTAGTCGACCATTAAATTCTCATTCACATAATGAACCTCGTGTTCGTCTTTATCTAGAGAATCAACATACAATAGAAGAAATTGCTCAAAATATTCCTAAAGAATGTAAACGTGAAATTGAAAAATGATATGAATTTGAAAAAGTTGAAATTAATAATCAACCTTCAACACATGATGAATATCGTCATAATATCAATCGTTTGTATTAGATAATTTTTCTTTTATATTTATAGACAGAAAAAATACTTATTAATTGTTTCATTTTTTCTTCTAGGTTGAAAAAAAAGGTGTATTTAATTTAGATGATATTATTCAAATACTTCGTGATGAACGAATGAAAGATATCTGTGTTATTGAAATTTCACCAGAACAACAATATGTTCGATATCTAATATTAGCTACTGCTTTTAGTGCCCGTCATTTGAAAAGTACAAGTGAATATATTAATAAATTAGTAAGCAATAATACTTCAAACGAAAATTAAAATATATACAGGGTGTTTCAAAAGTTTTTAAATAAAAAAAAAACTTCGAATATCTCCACCGTGCTTTGATCAATCGAGCACATCTTTTCTCAGTGATAGAGGAGACTATAGTAGATATTGCTTTGAGCACTCATTTAAACGCAAACTATCATTATGATGAAATCGTAGTGGTGATATTCGCATTTTTTTTTCGTATAGTGACTTTTGCAAACACCCTATACATATACATATTTATTGTTTAGTTATAAAGTTAAAAAGAAATCAAATGATCCTTATCTAAGTAATGAATGTCTTGATGGTTCAAGATGGCATCATATGGATATAGGTATGTTGTTAGGAAAGAAAGTATTCAAGTTTACTTTTCTTTTTTTTTTTTTAATTTCTTAGGTCATCTTGTTTTACATTTATGGGTGTTGAAATGCGTGAATAAAATGATCTTGAAACATTATGGTGTGTTGATCTCAAATATGATGATCAAGTACATACAATTCAACAATCATTAGATGTAATTAGAAAAATGGATGAACAATTAAAAGAAGAAGTTTTAATAGTTGCTGATAAATATCGACTACTTGATAATCCATATTAACATGTGTGTTATTTATTGGAAGGTTCAGGAATATTTCAAGATCCACCATCACGAAAACATATGACATTAGATGATCTTCCACATAAAAAAAATGTAGAAGAACAAACAAATATTGAAGTTGAAAAAGAATTTATTAATTTACCAAGTGATCCAAAACCACCAGTTTATAAAGAACAAAAAGTTAATTAAATTTCGTTCGTCTTTTTGTGGATATACTTTATTTTATCAATATAAATAAATGATAGGAAAAAAAACATTATCAATAGCATAAAGATATCATAATTTCTATGTTAAATACTCAGTAAAATCTCAATACATGCACTTGAACAAATAGACACCAACGAGTTATTTTATCAAAAAATACAGGATATTTCAGAGAGATTCATGAGGCAACTAAGAAGTACTTCTACTCCGCTTCCTTCACATTCAATAAATTTTGTTAAAATTAGGATTGTACCTATTGATTTATCTTTTTATCGATTTTTTTTGTTCTAATATCGCCATTATTTCATAGAGCACTTTAAAAAGTGGCTACTAGAATCACAATCAACATCAAAATTCACAGATCAATGGCAATAATTTCATAATCATACTTGTTATTTAGTACTTTTTGATTGTGTAAGCAATTTTAATTTTTTTTTCATAACCATTTTTATCAAATAAATTACATCTATTTCCAGTAATAATAATTCCTATTGAAGATATGTTGCTTTTGAAAAAGAACAAAAAATTCTAAGTATATAATGAAGAGAAATATTTTAAATTAATCATTGAATCATTGCAAATATATAAACAGAATAATTTTCTATTGAAAACTGTTATTTTCTATCAGAAATAGATTCTATGTCCTAAATGCCATCCTTTCACCTTGACCATCTATTACTAGTATTATGAGACAAAAATAGGTTATTTTGACTAATATTTCCGAAGATAATGAAGATATATAGATGACACATACAAGAAAATTATTTTTGGATTATCAATTATAATGGTCTTATAATAATTCTATTCCTGTTGTCAGCGACGAAAACCGGATATCAATAATAAAATGAATTCAAAATGAGTTTTTCTAACTTCTTATAAAGATTTTGTCTACCATTTCGCTACCCTAGTGCGATCTGGTTTTACAACATTTCAATTTTTTAGAATAAATGAAAACAATTAAGAATAGTCAATGCATGTTTTTTTTGGTCTACAAAGAACATTTCTCTGCTGATAACACACATAAAAGTTTATTTTGAATGAGTCGTCTTACTGTATCTTTCCATATTAGAGTAATTCTACAACCCCATTATTCAATATAAAAGCATTTATTGATATGACCCAGAGAAAAATCTGTAATTCACTAGAGATCTGCTAATATATCCAATAAAATCATAGACGATGCGAAGAGAAACAGAGAATGATAATTAATGAAAGAACAGGATAGTGCAAAAAAAGTAAGTGAGGAAAAATATTTGAGCTTAACAGCTGATAGAGAAGTAAGATTATGAATCGATGCACATGTGTTATGAAGAAAGAAATATACTAGATTAAGTCTAGTTTTATCACATAGACTTCCAGGTTATCATTATCAATAAAATGCGATTTCTATTTGTTCAAGATTAACAGATAGAATTGGCAACAGATATATGAGCTATCTTGTTACTGAGAATCTTTTGTTGATATCTATGTATCTATATCCGCAGCTGTACAAGTTGATAAATAAGAGTATTCGAATGGCATCATGTTCTTTCTAATGAATTAACAAAAGCTTGATTTTCGAATATTAGTGGCAAATTTGTAATCCATCCAAACAAGCAGAGTGTAAGTGTAAATGATCGGGTTAGTATGCACTTGCGCGTGCGAGAGTAAGAATGTGTGGCGAGTCAAGACAATCTCAATATCCCTAAAATGATGTCTTTTGAGCAGAATTTTAGAGAATTTTTGTTGTATCTTTTGGAATGTTCCATGTTTCAACTTGCAGAAATGTTGCTGAGAAAATCGAAATATAAGGTAACCGCTGAATATTAAAGAAAAAAATAGGCATTGTTGGTGCTGAGATCATGTAGGATATCTTACGTCAGGATTCGAGTATTTCCCAGCATGGTTTGCACTAAAGTCGATTCCAACTAGATCTCAATGAGATCTATCGATTCTCTCAATGAGATCTATCGATTCCACTACTTCCCTCCCGGAAAAACTCTTCCTCCACAACAAAAATCCCATTTTACTACAACAAAAAAACTTACGAAAAAAAGTGAAAAAAAAAAGAATAAACTGTCGCGATTCGCTCGGTTGCTGATTCCAACAAAATCAGTCATGGTTCCAGATAGAACTCGACAAGCTCTATGGAATGGACACCTTTTGAGCTCGATTTTGTGCTCGGGTTTCGGAAAACCAGCCAATCCAGGACACAATGGAACTATTTTTACTTCTAACTCGTAGCGCTTCGCTTCGTGGCCTTTTCCAATGAAACTAATAATGGTTCTAACGAAATTGTTTGATGCCATATGATAAACAATATTTATTATGAAATTTTCTGATGAATAAGGTCATATTTAATCGTATTGTATTAAGATATCTGAATAGACACAACATGTATCATTTTACATTTTTGTTAATTTATGTTAAATCAACAAGATTGAAATAGTTTTATATAAAAAGAAAAATACAACAGAGTTTGATTCATCAATGAGATCAGTAATTTATAACTAAGAATTCGATACTTGTACTGTGACTGAGCATATAAGTGTGTAGTAATGGGTTAAATTTTCTTTTCATTGTGTATTAATAAAAATATTGTTTTACTATAAAGTTATGTTTGAGAGTTTCGATAATACGAATAAATTTTCTTCAAAATTTATTCTTCTTAATAAGTTATTTATTCTATTGAATCTCTTATTTGGTCAAATATTGATATCAATTTAGAATTTTAGAGACATAATATTTATTTATAAATTTAAAAAATGAAAATTGTTTTTGAAAATAACAGTATTGATGACATAGAGAAATTTCGTACACTATCATACATGTATGCACAAAACAAAAAAAAAAATATATATATATGAATTGATTTTTTTTATTGAAGATAGTAAACAAAACCATAAAACATTTTTTGATCTAAATTAAAAATAAAATCATTTAAAAAACATATCGTTGTTTTTTTCCAAAAGTCATACCTGTTGGATTTTTTTAAGAATACCGTGTTGATGATCAATAATTTTTGCTTTATTTAAAAAGTCATATACATATCCAAGAGAATAATTTAATTTTTGACTAAATTCTTATTGAAATTGTCAAGGTTTTCTCTGGTTATAATTATCAAGAATAAAATCGATCATAAAACAAATTTTTTAATTCGAATATTTCGTTTATTTGAACAGATATTTTTTCATATTTTAATGCCAATATTATTTTGTTAGTTTTTAAATATTCAGATATTAATTTTTAAAGCAATAACTTCTCAAAGTTTAATATTCATGAATAGTAAACACATTTATCTCTTTATATAATTAATATAAAAATATCATTTCGAATATTATTTTTTCTATTTTATTAATTTTGTTATGTTTAATTAAAATAGATATAAATTGAGTATGATAAAATATTTTATCAGATAATAATTAAATCTGACTTAAACAAAATGATTGAATTAATCTTTTTTTAATCTTAATCAATTATCAATTGTAATCAATGACATTATTAATTGTTAAGATTAAAAAAATTTTTTCATTATGACAATATAAAACACATTAAATTGCTTTAAATTTAAATTAACATATTGAAATTAACGAAATAAATCTGTTCAATAATAAGGAAAATATTGAATTTATCTAAAAACAATTAATACATAATTAAATTGAATTTACATTCTTTTTACCTTTGCTTTTATTGTCCACATATTCGGTTTCATAATGACCGATATATATTCAACTTTCATGTTTATCATTATATCATTACCAAATTGACGATATTCTAAATCAAACAGAAATAATTTTTCTTCGTTTTTTTGTTTTTTTTCCATTTTTTTTTTGTTTTTGGTTAAATTTCTTGACTAAATATTGTTTTAATGAAGAAATAACTAATATGGCAGAATGTACCATTGATAAATTTTTTTTATAATTTTCAAATTTTTCATTTCATTATTTAGGATAAAGACGATTTTCAATAAATTTTAATGAAAACAACTTAAATGTTAATACATAATTCATGTTTTTTAATCCAACGACGAATTTATTTTCATTTGTTATTTTTAATGTAGAAAATAATAGATGATAATTCCACCTATTATTAAAATCCATAAACATGTAACAATCTACAAAAAAAATTCAATAGAGAAAAATCTAAAATAAATAAAAATAATTCGTTTTTTTTAATACATACTTTGATCATATTCATGATTTTCATTTTCTTTTTTATTTCAAATTTTTCTTTCTAAAAAGAAAAATAAATCATAGAAATGTTTTATAAGAAAAAAACTAATTTACTTGTTCTTCATTTTCTATTTTATCAATAATATTATCAATAATATTTTCTACTTGACATAATTGTTCATTTTCCAATTCATTTTTACGATGTAGAATTTCATTTTTAAGACGTAGAATTTCATTTTCATTAGTTTCCTTTTCATTTCTTAATATTTCATATCGTTGATTAAGATGTATAATTTCATTTTCATAAGTTTTTTCATTTCTTAATCTTTCATATCGTTGATTAAGATGTAGAATTTCATTTTCATTAGTTTAACTAGGGGTGTCAACGTTCCCCGTTCCTCAGCATTCCGTTCCTAGGAACGGGAACGCTTGTCAAAATCGCATTTCACGCTATATTTCAACATGGCGAGGTCTCTAGACATATTCACTTTTCTTTTTATGTTTGAGTGTTCAGCGTTCCCCGTTCCCAGGAACGGGAACGGAGTAGCGTTCCCCGTTCCTAGGAACGGAATGCTGAGGAACGGGGCACGTTGACATCCCTAATTTTTATGAAATTGGCTTTCCTTCGGTGAATTAGTAAAATTTCTGTTAAAAGTGAAAGAAACGTATGTTGCGTTCCAGTTTCTAGGAACGGAACGCTGAGGAACGGGGTAGCGTTCCCCGTTCCTAGGAACGGAACGCAAAGTTGACACCCCTAATTTAGTTTCCTGTTCATTTCTTAATCTTTCATATTGTTGACTTTGAATTCTCATATGTGTAAGAATTTGAAATAGACTTGGATCATAAAAATTATCTAAATCACGAATAATTTGATTCCTTTGTTCATTGGTCAAGTTGACATTGAATTGAATGTTCTGCAAAATTAAAAGTATAATTTATCATATAAAGAAAACAAAATGTTCGCATGCAAAAAACAAATAAACAAGACAAACTTATTCAACATTTTTTTTTAGCCTTAATAGATCATGCAAAATCTTCGTATTAATATTAGATAGAACAGAGCTTTTATGGCTATACCGTTAGATTTAAGAGCGTTATTATATCTGTAGTAAAATCCATTCTCAATGATACAAAACAAAGACGAAACAAAAGAAGACAGATAAAATTAATCTGAAATGGTAACGTAGGAAATAGAAGATAACAGAAAAGAATTTGAAAGAAAATGACGTAGAACTTCTCGTAGAGTTAAATCCTAAATGATTAAATGAGTGATACAAAAGACAAATTTGTTCTAACCTTATTATCAAGACACATTATTATTAGCAGTTGAGCAAATAAGAAACAAATACAACCGAATATAATAGATATGATAATAAAGAAAGTACAATCAAAAATATATAAAGAATAATCTTGTTTAAATGAAAATATCTGTGAGCATTAAATAATCTATTATATAAAAGGAAAAAGAAACAAAGTGAAAAAACATGAACGAATTGCGAACGAGATCGATAGAGAACGTACAATATGTGGATTCTATATCGCATAACATAGTAATATACCGACAAAGTGAGAAAAAACATCAAATCATTATCAAATGGAGAATACACTTATGCACTTAGTGGCTCTAATTTCTGAAATACTCCGATCACTTTTTCAAAGGGACTACTTTATATCAAATTGTAGTTTGTCAAAAGACAAATTATCTCATGAAGTCAGATTTTTCGGTCTTTTTGTTCTTATTGTTATATTCGTGCACACATTGTTTTCAACAAAAGGCGTACATAGTAGAAACAAAATGTACAGAACATCTTCATTTTGATTTGCACCAATGTTCCGAATGATTAGTGCACCAAGCAAAATCAAAGTGAGCACGTCACGCACTTACTGTGATTTGCACTCTATTATAAGATTTTTCACTGTGTTTTATTTTTTAATTTATATTGGTTTTTTCATTTTTACACCGGATTTTCTTATTTATTATGTTCTTTGATTGAAGCAAATAGTCTTTTCTTATTCTTATTTCAGAGAATGAACAAAGAACAGTCATTTAAACACTCAAACAACGTTTTCAGAAAAATTTTTAATTCAATCAACCAGATCTTCATTCGATCAATCAAAAGAAAATTCAAATGACAGTAAGAACCTCTATGCGAAATAATTGTTTTATTCTTCTTGTTTCCAAAATTTTATTCTTTTTTCTCTATGATGATGAACAGTCATATGCAACGGCATGAGATCGATATTAACACCAGGCAGACTCTCATACTTACGTATTAGCATTAATAAATTAGTTTAATCAGCAACTATATCAATCAGTATTAATGTGTACCGGTGTCAACTCTAAAATGATACTAATAGTTTGGGAATGAATTTTCCATCTAGTTTGTATATGTATACGCTGGGATAATAGCTCTTGTATGCAAGAAAAGGGAACAAACAACAAGTAATGGAAATATATTAGGAAAAAGTAAAAATAAGCAGAGGAGAACACACCTTATGTGTATTGTATGACGAATAGACACAAAAACAGAAAGTGAAAGAAGTCATAAGATATATGATAAGCGTAAGCAAAGGTACATGATACTGGTGCTACAACAAAGTCGCAAACGAGTCTTTCCAAAATTTATTGAAAAAGAAAACTAACAAGCCTTATCGATATATATGTAAACGAAGATATTTTTGGAGAATTGAAAAATTTCCTCCATAAGCGAAAATATTTTTCGAAAATTCTTAGATAGTATTAAATTTTGAAATATTTTCCCAATTTGACTAGGTTTCACAAAATTTCCGCGAACGGCCGTTCGTGCAGACGGGTAGATTCTGCATGGCTGAATGTCATCAACGTCGTATGCGACTACTCAGTACGACCATCGTAAATAGCGTTCATATACGATCATATATTTGTTGTATTCAATGCAAAGTAACTTTTTTTGTGTAAACGAATTTTTTAAATATCTCTATCTGTTATAATCGCGCAATGAACAGTAAATATGCTTTGTTATAAGGAACAATTTTTTTATGTACAATCCCTCTCGATAGCACAACTACCAGTATATGTGATTTTAAACTAAGCAATCTGTTTTTTCTTTTTATTTTTAGATTTATTATAACAATAAGTGGAACAATAAGTTAAAGTTTATTTAAATAATTTTTTATTTTTATTTTTAGATTGTCGTATCAAGAAATCGAAGGAGAAGTATCAATTTAAATTAATTTTTCGATTTATTATAAGGATAAATCAAACAGTAATTATTAACTTAGATAAATTGACGTGCTCAGACAGACTGAGCACCTCAAATATTAGTCTTTGTATTATTGAAGACTGAAGAGGGGAAGGAACAGGACAAGTTTATGTGGGATAATATGAGAAACGATGTTGTTATTTTCTCTTATTTGTTAATAAGTTAAGTCGTTTCACATGACATGTATTATTCAAAAAAAAATTCTCCTTGAATTTGGTATAACATTGTAATTAAGAATTTATTTGAATGATCAAATTTTTGACAATGTCTAAGAATTACACTTGTTTTGACTACTTTCTTTTTTTTTCCTTGTAAAATGTCGTCATTGAATATTTTATTAATGCTTACTGATGTATTTAATTATAAGATACTGATAAAAAGTATACTAATTTATTCCATTTCAAAATGTTCTACTTTTATTTCTTGTTTTTTTTATAATTTTTGTTTTATAAATATAGATAATAATGGTAGAACAATTTATCTTTTTGTTTCATACGTAGGTGTTACACAAAAATATAGAAATTTAATTTTGATGTACTCGAATATCTTTTTCATATATAAAGTAAAGATGGGTGAAGATCTCGAGAGTGTTTAACTTTGTCAAGATTCATTTGTCAATTATTTTTAAAAAAAAACTAAAGATAATTATGTATTCAATGTTACTCTAGCAAATGATAAAATTTGCAAGGGAAGAAATGTGATGTTACATAGTTATTATCCAAAAAAAAATACGAAATATAATAATTGAAACAATGATTCATGTAAATTCACAGAATGTTTAAGAAATTAGTCAATTCCAATTGTCAGGAAAATCAAATTTCCGTGCTTTTTAATATGACAGAAGGCACAAACTTAAAGCATCGTTCAAGTCTATTGAAAACTTATTTTTACGCATATCTTACTCAAGAAATCGAATTCCTTGTTTACAATTGAAATAACTGAGAAAATTTATTTTTTTCTAAAAGAATATTTAAATTAAAAAATAAATCTCTTGATTAAATCCAATCTAAAGTAACTACCAATATATTCGATTACGGTCGAACTGCGATCACAGTTGCTAAAAGAGACGATATAGGTTAAATTTTACAAAAAAACTTAATGAAAGATAATCATTAAAAAAAATAAACAAAAAATTAATAATATTATAAATATTAATAATAATAGAAAAAAGATCCATATTTCTCCGTTTTGATTTACAAAAAAATCTGTTCAGAATACGTATTCTATTTTTCTGCAGTAGAATTATCTATGAATCACAGTTTCAGGAAAGTTTTCTCTTATATGGTTCCTCTGTAGCTAAGTTTTAGCGTTACAGTGTGATCAATTACGATTAAGGAAGAAGCACTTATAATTGGTAGGTATCGCATACACTAAATCATATGATGTGCGTAGCTGCGGCGCAATTGTTAAAAAAGAGGCGGCATAGCTACAAAAATAAGGAGAGATAATTGATTTCAATAAAGTTCTTTTTTTTCTGGTTCGTTTAAGTTGGAATGAATGAGGAAATTAATTTTTATAGAAGAGACTATTCAAGGTAAAAAGTAAATTTCCTGATCAAATTCAATCTAAAACAACCACACAAATATAATTAAATATATTTGTTAATAATCATTTCATTGGAATTTTCTGAAAATGAAAACTTATCATTTTATAATATGTTTAAAATAAAATAAATTCATCAAATGAAAATATAAGATAGAAACATTCATTCAATAATAGAACATTAAATTATATGTTATTGTTTGATTAACAGAACATTGTTTAAATCTCTTCCTTGTAAATTGATTTCATTAAAAATAGTTTCCATTTGAAATCTAGATAATTCATTTCTATTATTGATGCTAACTAATCATATAACAATATTGAAATTCATCGATATAGAATCCAGGAAATATATATACGGTAGATAAACATTTTTTTTTTTAAAAGACAAATCTCAGATTTGATTGCATTTTAATGTCTTTTGAATTCTATCTTTTATATATAAAATCATTTTTCTCTTCTCAGAAAAAAGTCCAATTTTATGAATAAACTAATGGAATCTTAGAATAAAACATATATCAATCAACTTATTACGACAAGATTTTATCAAATAAAATCGAACTCATCTTAACTTTTTTCTTGCCAAGAGGGAAAAAAGTTGCCGCTATGATTTTTTTTTTGTTTCTTAATTTCCCCAAAGTCATATAAACTACATAGAACGATTAAAGATAAACTTGTAAATCCTATCTGGAATAAAACAGATTATCATCATTCTTTTATCATTTCAAAGGTCTATTCGCGAGTTATATGTTTGTTTAACATGCACATAAGCATATCTTATTTCATCCTAAGTTTTTTTTTTCGCCTAAAACAACGGCATATATAGGATTGATTATTTCCCGAATACTTAGGAAGCTTTATCCGATAGTGTTGCAATCAGTTCAGAGATAATTTGTAAACATGTTTTCGTCAATGTACTTTTTCCTGTTTGCACGTCAAGTTTGTTCCTAATTGTACCTTTTCCTGTTTACACGTCAAGTTTGTTCCTAATTGTACTTATCTAAACGTAGAGAAAGATTTCGTTTTAGTCTCACTATTTGAATAGTGAACAACGATTTTCGATGTTCCTTATATTTGATATTGTTCTAGAGGTTAATAGTAAAAGAAATGAGCTACGGTGGAAAACCATAACTTCATTTTTATTAAAATTGATGAACTACAAATCACAAACGAACAATGATGTTCTTTTTTTTTGGGAACAGTAATTCCGGGTATAAAAAAACATTTGCTTTATTATTAGGAATGACACATCCGGAAACAAAAAGTCTTTGTTCTTTTATCAGAAACTTCCGAACATGAACTGTAAGAGGTATAGTCACTCGAAGTATATATATACATTAGAATTAAAAATAATGGTAACAGCTTGATATCAATTAATTCTAACGGAAATGATAGTAAAGCATCAAGGTTAATGTTTAATACTGGTATTACATGGCCTATTCGTCACTTCCTTTTACCACAATTCTCGTATACATTTTTCTTTTTATTAACTTAAAATTCATCGATGTTGAAATTTTTTCCTATTTCTCGATAATAAATATAATTGAAGTTATGAAAAACATATCAAAAAAGTTCTTTGTTTTTTTTGCTACCGAAATAGCACGCATAACATTGTATGAAATAAATAGTTAAAATCTTTTTTTGTTTATCCTCATTAAGTTTAATAATAATGTTGGTTAATCATGCATTATATTCATTTAATCTTATTGATTGAACTCAAATAGATATGAATATATTTGAAAAATGAAGATATTTTCTTTGAATTTTCTCGTTTATTTATTTGACATTAAAATTAATCGACAAAAGAGAATCAATTAAGAGAAAAAACAAGTAAGTAGTTCACATATTTCATTTTTTTATTCTCTAATACAACAATTTCGATAATTCATCAACCGAATTTGATGATGATGATGGAACTGATGAACGTAATGAACGTTTGTCAAGTGCCCAACTACATACTTTCCATAAACATTCTATAATTAAAAACAATAAATAAATAAATAAATAACTAAATAGATAAGACATACGTCGTCCACGTTTTTGAAAATTTCGTGGATGACCATCAGTTTGATCTAATAAAGCATCAACAGATGTAATTATTCCTGGATTTGCTTCATTTAATAATATTTCGTTCTGTAAAATTTTCGAAATCAATTCATTTGATTCACTTTCGGGTTCGAGCAAAAAAGGTCTCTAAAAAAAGCAAAAGAGAAGAATCAGCAGAATTAGATCAAATAAATAAAACAAAAACGAAAAAAACCTTCTAGAAAATATTTACTTGAATATGACTTAGTGCAAATGAATTAATAAGAAATATTTGTGCACAAACAAACATTATGATTAATTGTACTTTTAACATTGTCATATTATTCTTGAAGATTAATAATAAGGAATTAAATATCAATACTAAAATAAAATAAATTTTTTTTTATTTGCTTTTTCTAATAAAACATATCCAAATTTAATATAGAGAAAATCCAAGAGTTACTCAACAAACTAAAGACAAAATGCATATAACCTGGATAGAAATTCTGTTATATATATATACATAATGAAGCAAATTAACTAAGTACTCTCGTGACTTTGAATTTTCTTCGATGCAAATTACAGATGAACAAACTTTTTGTTGAGAAGAAAAAGAAAGGATAATAACAGATTTGTATTGCCTACACATTTTTGTCATCTCATTCATTTATCGGTCGAGATCTTTTAACAAAAGTAAATGATATGCTCTTATTTAAGAAAAATTATAAAGACAAATAATGATAATAAATATGACAAAGTCGGTATGTTTCGTTTGTCTTTTTTTTCTAATTTTAATTTCCGACAAAAATGAATTAAATAAAAAGCAAAAATAAGAATAATTTGTTTTATGATAAAACTTACACTGATGTTCGATTACTGGACAAATGTTTCCTTTTTTCTTATGTTTCTTTTTCTCTTTATCTTTTTTCTTCTTTTTTTTTTTTGCCTATCTATTCGTATGGATGATGGTGATTGAACGATGTCAAATCAACTCAAGTGTGCACGATTATTATATGAAATACAATTGTATTCCACTTGAAAATTAAACCTTGAATGAAACAAAACAAATTGTGAAGGAGAAAATGACATATTACATCACAAAAAACTATCATTTTGCTAATTAAACATAAAATAAAGAAATATATCGTTTTATTCAATTATTATTAATAAATAACGAGAATTCATCACTTTGTTTTGTCATTGTTTTATTTAAAAAAAAAATATCGACTATTTGTTTCTTTGTCATATTATGCAAATTATTTTAAACAAAAACAACAATGATAAATATATATATATATATATGTCTCTTGTTTTTTGTTTATTCGAAATAAAATTTCGTATCATGCTGAATATGTTTCATATTATTTCAGTGTATAAAATTCAATAAAGGAAATTTGCTTAATAATGTATCTTCAATGACATTGAGATTTTTTCAAAAGAGAGTCAGCAGTATTCTTTTTTTTTTATATGTATATTCAAAAATGCCGGAATTAATCTTCTTCATAGAAGGAATAATTCTATGCAAAAGTAAAAAAAAATGAACTAATCATCAGATTTTTCTTCAGGTTTTATTTTTTTTTCATTGTTAAATCATTAGAATTATATTAATCAATATCATTAAATGTGCATGACAATCCACTTTAACATTAATTTTAGAAGAATTTTTTTTTTCTTCTTATCATTTATTATTTCTTGTTAATTAATATTCAATTATTCATAGATTTAGAATTATAGGAATGCTGGATTAATTTTTCATTGTGGACATTTTTTTTGCCAATTAAGAAAAAATATTCGCAAAGCACAATTGGAAGGAGAAAGAGACGAAAATGTCCACATAATGAAATGTTCGAGTAAGTCGAATTGTTGATAATGACTTGAATATTGATGGAGGTTGGGACAAGCGATTATTCATATAATGATGACTTAACACGATTAAATACAGGAACTGCAGCGCAGCACTACCATTTTCTCGTCTAGGGTTTTTACTTGTTAATCATATAATAATGATATCGGTGCTGTGGGATTCTTCCTCGATCCTTCTCTTCATGCATTCATATACATTTAAAGATATTTTTTTGTTGATATTGAAATTCATGACTTCCACCAGCTTCTATAACCGATGCTTTTACAATGGAATCTTTATGTATGATTATAGTGGCATAACAATAATGCTATCATAGCTAACGATTGACATTTTTTATTCAATTTATTTTAGTTTATTTGAGTGATATTAATTACTTTAGTTATAAGCACATGTAAAAGAATGACCTAGACAACATGTGATGTCTATCACTCGACTAACTCTAATAAGATAATATCCTCTTTGAAACAACCCATCTGCGCTAATCATCTCCTTGTCACTATTTTCACTTGTTTTCATAATGCGGACATTTTTGTCTCTGCCTCCTTCCGCCGATTCTGCTTTGTGGACATTTTTTCCCTTCAATCAAGGAAAAACGTTCGCAATCAAGAAGACACGAAAAGAGTCAATAAGGATTATTATATCGTACCAAAATTAGTATAGACAGCGATTGAACAACTAATTCGACTAACTTGACCTAAATTTTTATTTGAAAGAATTACTCGAAGTTGAATTATTTTTGATGAAGCACCCATTGGAATAACACATATCTCTAATGGAATTATTAAAAAAAAATGTTGTATAAAAAGGAATATATATATATATTCAAATAATGCTGATAATGAATAAATTCATCAAAGATTATAAGTTAAAAACTAATGTATAACTAAGATTAATAGTAGAGAAAAAATATTTATTTAATTATTTTTATTTTCTTACGCCATCTCTTCAAGTAAGATAGATGAAATTGAAATATTATCAACATTTTTTTTTGTTCGATAAATACGAATAATTTCTGATAATTTTTGTATATGATATAAAATATTAACCGAGAGACTTAGTAATTGTAATAATATCATTTTTCCAATTTAAAAGAAGATCATAACATAACTGAATATCGAAGATTTTTTTTTTTTTTTTGAGAGGATAAAACATTACAAATTATATGAAAAGGAAATTAATTTATTACATATAATTCTGAATAATTCTAAATTAAAAATTCGTGAATTTTAAAAATATTTCAATCTATTCACTTTATGTTTGAGTTCAACTTTAGTATCAATTCTTCTTTTTTTCTTATATACCCATCTAATGAAAACCAGAGAAAAACTGTCCGGTTTTACCGGCTCGGCTACCGACTCCCATTACTGTGCTAAACAGCAATATACTGCCGGTTTTTTCGATGAACAACGGTTAACCGATACTTCTGTACAGTTGCCTGACATCGTTTGATTCTTTGTTTTACTAATATTTGTAGTTAAATTTAACAATTATTTTTCAATTAACCTAAGTTTTATTCCAGCTAAAATTACATGGGGTAGTCAAAAGGTTCTCGTAATAGTACTCTAAAATTTCATCCTGATTGATTTTATTCCTGATGTTAGTCTATTCTAGTAGTGGAATCTGTTATGTGTTAAAACACTAATACGAAGTTTTACAAGTGTCTATTATGATAAATCTTTAATCGATTTTTTCAACACCTCTGTTTTCAGATGGATAAACTTTGTATTCGCTCATTTATAAAAACTCGTTGGTTATTAAGTTTAAATGATACACAAATTCATGATGAATTAACTGCTGCTTATGGACAAGGTGTTATTTCATATAGTACAGTTATAAATAAATAAGTGATGCGACAAACACAACATTTCGTTTTTTTTTTGTGTCATGACTGGATGGAACTTAATTATTTGCACAAGGACAAATAATAGTACACATTTTCAAAAGCAATTTGACAGCAATTAGAATTTTTTGTTTACTACTCTTATAATTAAAAATATGTTGACATAGACTGCGTTGAATTTGCTTTTTAATAAGCGTGCTATTGATTTTTTTTTATATGAATGGTCACGCTCCGTCCAAACATAACAAAAAAAAAAGAAAACAAAGTGTTAGTGAAATTTCATGATGCAGACACATAAATAATTCTAAAAGAATATCTCAGTTTGTGTACTCTCTTAACGGCTGATATGTTTAATAAGTTAGTTTAACAAAAATAACATTGATATGATCTAACTAAGACCAGTCTCCTTAGTTTATAGTAATGATTTCTCCATTTTTAGCTATATAATGTATCATTTATCTTTCTTTACTATGAAATAATTTTCAAGATATATATATGCTATTCACCGAAAAAGGCAATATGAAAAACAATTTTTAGTCACGGAAAGTACGACAAAGGTGAGGACAAAATGAACTGATCTCGTCATATTTAATGATTCTATATAAGAACTAAATTGCTCGCAACGATCTGCAGTATTTTCGAGTCTTTTTATTAAATACTTTTAGACGAAAAGACATATAACTATTTAACTGAAATAATTCGTTTTAGCATATTGTATCTCACACATAGAAGAAAACTTGTTTTCATTTGGACGAATTTCAATTATTTAAATTTTGAAATGTCATTACCCTTAAAAAATTTGGAACCATTTACTGCTATTTGGCTTGATCCTGAAATAAGATTACCCTCAACATCGTCAAGTTTTACAAATGCACGAAAGAAATTACGTGAAACAATTAATTTTTTAATAGATTTTTCTAACGCTGATAAATGTATTGATTATATTAAAGATGAAGATGCCAAAAATATTATACTTATAATAGCAGGTCGTTTAGCTAGACGTATTATACCTTCAATACACAATTTTCAACAACTAATCGCTATTTACATTACATGTAGACCAGACAATGTAATGAGAAATCAAGAAGTCACCAAACAATATCATAAAGTAAGCATATTGAAAGTGTGATTTATATCTCTGTCAACAAGGTCTGTAGAATCGAATTTCTTCTGCTTCCAGTGATTTTTGTTTGTTTTGTGGATGTAATCGGTCTATCCATTTTCATGAAGTGTCATTTTGAGTAAAAATATTATAAAATAAGATGAATTGCGATTGTATATATCAAGTCAAATTACTTCAGTGATATTTCTTATTCTTAAGAGTTGTTATAAAATGGTATCTTCCTATGGTAGTGAATACTGTTAAACAAGAAAGATCATTTGGATATATTAAAATGTAGAAAAATAAAAGATAGTAACATTTATTAAAACATTTAAATTCTAGGTTAAATCTGTCAGTAGTTCTATTGACCAATTAATTGAAGTAATCGTCAGAGATCAAATCGATCGAGAAAAAAATGAAAATGGTTTATTACTATCTCTATTTAATTCAGAAGAACTACTCTACGGGATGTCATGCAAATGCCTTGAATATGAAAGTGAATTGATTATTTGGACACAAACATTTCTGCAATTTATAATTGGAACTGAGAGACAAGCAGGTGAAACCGACATTACAGAACTTATCAAATTACTTAAAGAACGGTACATTGATAATGAATATCGTTTGAATGCCATTCAGGAATTCCAGCGTACTTACGACTCTTCTTCAGCACTAAAATGGATTACCAACGATACATTTATTTTCCGACTATTGAATCGAGCTCTAAAACAACGAGATGTTTCTACTTTGTTGCGATTTGTTTTTTTTATTCGCGATTTGTATAATGGTCTAATTAAAGCTCATGAATGTTCATCAGAGTCAATCGTGCGTGTTTATCATGGTCAGACATTGTCTTCGAGTAATTTGGAAAGGCTACGTAGGAAAGAAGGATCATTTTTCATGACTCATACATTTTTTTGGTCAAGTCAAAATCGTGAGAAAAGTATTTCATTAGCGAACTCAAATGATTCACAAATACAATCAGTTCTGTTTGAAATTGAAATATCAAAACGTACTACAGTTTCAAAAGCATTCGTCACTTTTACTAATTTAGATAATTTACAAGAAAATACGGAAACTTTATTTATGTTTGGTACTATATTTTATTTGTCAAGTGTTTCATACGTTGAGGAAGATAAATTGTGGATGATCAAATTAATATTGTGCGATGATCGAAATGATGATATTAAAGCAGTATTGAAAGAAGTAGCAGGCCATTTACAAGAGAATATTGAACGTCTTGGTTTCAACGGTGGTCGATATAATGAAACCTCTTATAATAACGTACATCAAGCAAATCAATCGTTGACAAATGTAACTGATGTTGATCTACCAGAAATTCCACTTCCATCTTTGTACTCATCAAAGCGTCAAGGACCTATTACAATATTAGAAAGTTTTCCATTAACGACAAAGGATGAAAACGTGTTACACATAACCCCTTCCATCGACACTATTGCATCGATGGATGCTGCATTCGAACTTTCCTTGGACACACCCCAAAATCGTGTACGATGGAGAATTTATATTCTCTGGTGTCAAACTGATATACATAATAATGCTCGAAGTTATTGGAAGTTTCGAATTCAGCTAGAGAAGCTTCATTTGAATGTACGATATTTTGATACGATAGACGAAACTGTTCAAGAAATTAGTAGATCTAAGAATGAATTATACTTTTTAATTACCTCAGATGGATTAGCTGACGTTTTGATCTCCCAAGTTCATAATCATCTTTGTGTAGTCTATTTATATATTTTATCAGAATTTACAGTAGACAAGGACACATCAAACTTAGTAGCAAATTATGAAAAAATTCGAATAATAACTGACAATCAACAAACAATATATAATCAAATTGCTTCTGACTTGAACAATACCGTTGAAAGTCCTCTGCAGCATTCTAACGAAATCGATGATGACAGTAGTTTTAATCAAATCATTTTCAATGTTGATGAAGATTTTACACCAATAGCAATTATTGACAGTGACTATCGACCAGGAAATTTATTTCGTGATGTATCTCATGATGAATCTGTTTTTATGGGGTTTCAATTACTTATCAAGATAATCTATTGTTTAGAGTTGACAGATGAAGATAAACATGATATGATTGAGTACTGTCGTAGTAAATGTGATAACAACAAAAGTGAGTGAAGTATTAAACTAATAAATAGAGTTTCAATAGAACTTCTCATTTTAGCTCAGCAAAAACAGATCGAGGACTTTAATAAGAATTATACGTTGGATCAAAGTATAAATTGGTATACAAAAGATTGTTTTGTCTATCGCTTTTTGAACGAAGCCTTTCGTAGTGAAGATATTTTCAATATCTATCATTTTCGATATTTCATTTTCAATCTTCAAAAACATCTATCAATACTAAGTAGACAACAATATCCACTTAACAGTCAAGTAAATTTAATTGTTTATCATGGTAAACCAATGCCAAATTTTCAATTGAGAAAACTAAATAAGAATAAAAATTTTCTTATATCAATGAATACATTTTTATCTGCGACAAAAAATCTAAAAGTAGCTGAAATGTTTTGTGGAGATGCATCACGACGAGCGCTTGGTATAGAGCCAGTCATATTTGAAATTACAATTAACACAATAGTCAGCGACGAGACAATCATTTTTGCCAATATTGCTTCGAAGAGTAATATGGAGGAAGAAGAAGAAATTCTATTCTCACCAGGTACAGTATGTCATATTGAGTCAGTTAATCAACGTGATGATCCAAACAAAACATGGTATATTAAACTGATATTAACATCTGAAACTGATTTGAAACGACTTCATACTTATTATAATAAGGAGATCGAGATAGGATTCAATATTGACATAAACAAACGAACAGGACCAATCTTTATAGCAAAACATTTGCTCAGAATGAACGAAAATGAAAAAGCGGAACGTTTTCTACAAATTTTATTGAAAAACTATCCAGCAAGAACTCCTGAATTAGCTATGGTATATATGAACTTCGGAAACCTATATGATCGTCGTCGAGAACATAATAAAGCAATCGATTCTTTCGAAAAAGCAATGAATTCTTTGGATGGCACTGATTCATCCTTAAAAGCGGCTATACTGCACAATATAGGGTCAATCTATACAGGACTCCAAGACTTTCATACTGCACTCAAGTATTTACAACGTGCTGTTAAAATTGAAGAGCAAATGTTGTCAAAATGCGATCCCAAACTGGCCATGACATATCATAACATTGGATTCTGTTATACGAATATGGGTAAATACAATGATGCATTTGAATTATATAAGAAAGCACTAAACATAATTGAAAAAATGAGACCAATGTATCATCCAGATAGAGCACTGATCTATATGCGACTAGCGGCACTTTATAAAAATACGGAAGATTATGAGGTAGCACTACACTTTTATGAAAAAGTGAAGACTATATATTTAAAAATAAAAGCTAGTAAACTAGATATGGCGATTTTATTAAATAATATTGGAACGGTGTTCATGTGTGAAAAACATCCGGATAGAGCAATCGAATATTTTAAACGTGCTATGGAACTACGTTCATCTGTCATAGATCTAGATAATCCTGAAAATAGTAATACCTATCATAACATCGCATATGCCTACTATCAAACCAATCAACTAGAATTAGCGGCTGAAAACTATGAGAAGTATTTGGAGAGCACTAACAAGTATCTACCATACAAGCATATGTGGAAAGTTAAAACAAATAATGCTCTTGCCGAAGTTTACGGAAAGTTAAATGATAACATTCGAAGTAGAATCAATAGCGCGATCGCTTTGTTAAGAAAACCAAATGAAAATTTCAATACAATATTAGATATGCACTCAGTATTGATCGATCTGTTATCCACTACTACTGCGCCTTACACAAAGTATCACATTAAACAACTTTTGAATCTGTCTCGTGAAGATGGGCTAACTCCAGAGCATACCATTGTACAAACGTATAGGATGCTTCTAAACAGTCAACAAGACTCCTAATCAAAAAATCTATTTGTCATTGTCAATTACAGACTTCAACACGTAATTGAATATTCAGTCAAACGTGACAACGGCAAATCATCATAGAAACGTGTTTTCTGACTTGATTTTATTTAAAACTATGCTTACGATGAACAAATTCTGTTTCTTAGAAAGAAAACCTACATTTTATTGCTCTTCATTTCAATAAATTTTCACACAAAGATATTCATATTCTTTATTTTTCTCTCTGCTTTACCGTCAATACACATTGATCACAACCAAGAGAAACCTAGAGATATAAACGAGAAAGTAAATAAAGATCTATAATCATATTTAACCCTAATTGTTAATGTTACATACAGAGATCTTTATGAATTAGATCCCATTATCAATGAATCAAATTGCTGTGACATTCTTTACAGATATCGAATAAATCTTTGCCATGAAATGAAGTTTAACAAGTTCTGTGACTAAAAGTATTTATCTGCAAAATGTCCTTTTAGTTTTCATTTATTACGGAAGTATGAGGGTGTGGGACTTTGTTTAGTGAACATCCACACTCAATCCAGAACGACGATTTCTGAGGCACTATTCCGTGTATTTCCAGCGAAAATCCTCAAAAACAGATGAATCCGGTCATCGAATCCATTCATTGGTATAATGTTTCCATGAAATCTCTGTAATATCATGCAATTGGCCGTTTCCGTCTTGGAAACCCACATCCACAAAAAGAACTTTCAATCATTTCTTCATTCGTTCTCATATTGATATGTTCCTTATCTTGCTTTTTCATCATTCTTTGTCATTGTGTTTACTGATGGATATGAGCAAACATTGTAATTAAAATGACGATATTTGTCATCTCGGATTTCTGTATTTCCGAGGAATGAAACAAAATAAAATCTCAACTTGTAGAAAAAGATTTTTAAAAAAAAAACTTGCAATAATCGTTATTATTTTTGTTTATGGCTTTGATTTCGGATACTTCACGATTGAAATAAAAAGGAAAACTAAAATGTGAACAATTTGTAGGGCAGTGATTGAGTTTCCAAGATCAATATGTATGTAGAATGAATAAAAGGTTGTGAAAAGAAGAAGATGAATACCCTGCCTTTCGGCTACCTTACAGTGTAATACAATGTCTGAGAACAGTTTTGAGAGTCCAATATTTGTCGTACATTCATTACTTAATGTAGCTCTGAACAGGAGGCCAGTCTGACTTAGAGTTTTTCCATTTAATCATTTAACCTCCTCCTCCACCCTCAGAAATGATTTCTCACTTGGAACCCATCGTTTGGACGGAGATTTTCAGGGATGATTAGTCTTGGTGAGAAACGCTTATGGTAAAAATTGCAGTTTGTTTTTCTATCTCCCAGGAGAATCGAAATAAATCCGTTAATAGAAGGAATACAGAGCACGGACTGGTTTCAAGGGAGAAAAACAGATTTCAAGATTCATAAAGATTTCCAGAGATTTCAGGGGTTAAAATGTGCGTTTTTCCTTTTAAGGATTCGAGAAAAGAAACATAAACTAAATTTGAATATATACTGTAAGATAAACAAATAACCAAAACGATGTGTTGCTTAAAATGTTACAACCGAGAGAAGTTACATGATATTTTAAACAAAAAACTTTACATAAGTATTCTTTAAGCATCAGTATTAACTTGAATTCTATCAGATAAATCAAATAGAAGTCTATTTATTGATAGAAACTTCTCACAAAAATGACAAGGAGAATACCATTTCATCAAGAAACATTTACAATTTTCTTTAAATAATTTAGATAGAAATTTTCTTCTATTTTTCAAAGATTCATTTACATTTCTTATTATATGGTTCATACGAAAATTCTTTCACACGCACAGAATGTTAACATATCTTTATCAAAAAGTTTCTCGTTAAGAATTTCAAAATAACATACATACATGTTTAATAAAAAAAAGAAATATATGGTTCACTAATTTCTTTACTATTATTACTAAGATTTCTTTTATAGAATCAAATACTTGATCTATCTAGAATTATATGCCTAAAAAGGAAGAGATACTTTTCAATGTAGCGGATTAACGTACTGTGAGAATAGCACAAATTTTTCTAATTAGTATCAATACAAAACAAAAGTAACTGATATTATATCTATTTACTTATGTTTGTTGATTTTTTGCGAGAGATAAAACAAAATAAATGTCACAATGAAACTCTACATCTGACAAATATCCGATAAGAATACCAGTTATCATTAGAAAATCATAGAAAACGAATATTCGTCAGAATATATATCTATCCTTAACGAGTAAATACTCCAAGAAGTTATTCAGCATGTTTTCTTTTTCTTAATGTAATGTCTCACTTTACACATAATCTAAATAAAAACAAAATATACAATTCTCTAATCAGCTATAGTTTAACCCTTTCGGGACCAGTGACGTTTTAAAACGTCATTGAAATTTTACGTGATCTGACGGGTGAGAATTGGAAGTTTTTTCACGTCTCTTCCAAGTAAACGTTGCAACTGCTTTTTTTTTATACGTTCGTGTTATGACCTGTGTCTTCTTCAGATGCGATCATAAGGATTTTTTCTCATTATCTATATGATTCTATGAAGAGACTTACATTCATCTTCTTTTCTCTTATTGTCATTCATGCGTCACGAATTTTTCCATTCCGTCATATGTGTAAATGTGATAGACTTTTCCTTTCCTGCTATATATGCATGTGCGATGGACTTCTCTGTTCTTTCTACTTCTTTTTCTTTCGACTGACTTTATGGATTTTCCCTTTCTTGATCGTCAGTTATGAAATCTTTTCATCGTATTGATTTTTTTCGCTTGTTATCATTTTATATATGGTCCTTAGATTGTTATGAAGAGAAAGATTTATACAGAAATGGATCTACATGGATTAAGACCTCACAGTTCATGCTTCCTGATGTTCACATTTTGATGAATATGGCAAAGATAAACCATTTTCGAAAAGTTGAAAATTTTGTAATTTTTGCTCAAAATAAGCCGGTCCTGAAAGGATTAATCAGTTTCCAATAAAAACTCAACATCGAATTTTTTCGGGTGTGGGGTGTGAGTGTGGGCTGTGGGTGTGAGTGTGGGGTGGGTATGGGTGTTATCTTTTTCCACCCACACCCACATCCATACCCACACCCACCCCACACGCACACGCACACTCCACACACCGACACCCACCCCACACCCACACCCACACCCACACCATACTTGGTCTAATTGAATTCGCTCGATTTGAAACAAAGATGATTCGATTTGAGATGTGTTTTACACGAAAGATGTGTCGAAGATCATTCTCACGGATAATAGTTCGAAAAAAAACAACGGCTTCAATTACTGTCTACGAGTAGCCAAACGTCTATTTCGGTCTGCGTAACTAACAAATGTTCTCTCGAAAGTATACAGTTAGGTTTGATTGCATTGAATTGAAAGTTATCGAATGAAGCATTTTTATTTGGTTTTATATCACAATCTTACTCACTATTTAACCTATTGATTGTGATAGTTCCGAAGCGGCTAGATTAGTCATATAAGCAGTATATTCTGCCTGTCGAGTACGTGTCTTTTGAAGATAAATACTATGTCGTTCTTGTGCCATTTGTATGATCATCAATAATGTAGTGATGGTCTCATTGGATGCTTGTTGTATATGGGCTATGCGTGCTTCATCTGTTTGTAAAAGTAACAATTGACTAATGCCTGCCATTTGAGCACTCATATGTTCACTAGAAACTGCATAGTAGGTTTTGGCCATAGTGAATAATAAATGAGCACCAGTTTCAATCGTTGTTGTGGCCCGTATCAATATTTCAGTGAAGAATTTTCGATCAATCGCATTGATCGATAAGTTATTGGTTTCGGCTATTTCAATGACTTTCAGAAAATCTTTGATAATGATCTATGTAACAGGGGAAATTCTTGATCGTAATGATTGATTACAGAAAAATGAAACTATCCATACCTGTTGAGTACTTTGAACTTGAGCAGCTAATTTCGAGAAGAATCGAATCATACGACTCCATTGTTCTTTGAACAAACTGATTTGTTGCATTACTTTGAGTAGAAGCCGAACGACTTCTTCTTTACTGAAGATACTCAAATCGAGCATAGCCATTTGTCCCACGGCCTTCACTAATTCATTCTGTTCGGCTAACTGTTGTTGAAAATGTTCATTGTGAAGTTGTTCTGCTTTTTCTAGATCATGACGAGCTTGTTCAGCAATTTTCATGGCATTCTCAAATTTGCCAGTGTCTAAAATTGGCTCCGAATTGTTACAGCTACCTAAAATACAGCCGATAGTATCGACTGGATTGAATACAACACCGATGGCGATCGTAATGATATATGTGAGAAGATCAGATTGATCACCAAGGATTGTAGGCATTGATGAATCTGTAACAAGTTGTACGGCTTCGACATATTTTTTTCTGACATTTCCCAAAGCTGCTTTAGATGTATTGTATTGATTCTGAATAGAATTGAGATTATTTTGAAGACATTCTTGATCAAGTATCGATTGATTTTTCTTAGCTTCCATGTTATAAATAGCGACTTCATTAGCTCCTTGCGTATGTTCACTCAATTGAATAATTTCAACAAGTAATTCTTGTAGTAAATTGAAACGTTGCAAAGTCGAATTGGCTTGATTGGCGCTTTGTGTTGCTGAACGTCCGATACTATCAAAAATTCGTGGTAACATCTCTTTGAGTATAGCAGGGGATGCCGATGTAATCAATTTCATTGCTGTTTTCACAGATGTCGGTACTTGTTGCATGGCGGATTGAATACTATCCATGGCGGTGTGAGCACCTATCAATGCATTGTACATATCAGATGATGCTTGAGCAAGAGTTGCACGAAAAGACTTTGGGTATCTATTCGAAATCAACAATATATGGGGATATCAGAAATTCTCTGATGGAATCCGATAATAAGTCCAAGTTTTCTTTAGTATTCATAGACGCTTGGCAAAACAGGGATTGCCACATGTACTTTTAAGAAAGATTGTTTTCAAAAGAAAATGATTTTTAGATTTCTAATATGATGTCGAGTATTTTTCATGATATTCTCAATTACTCACCTAATATAACGATAGACATAGTCTAATGGAGCTTGTAAAGAAAAATCACGTTTGCTAGCAATAACCATAAGATTACCCATGTAGCGAATAATAATTGGACCAGATACCATTAATATTTCCCATTCTTTGTCAATTTCTGTCTGCTGTTTTAATTGGTCATCACGCAGAGTATCGAAAATACTATTCTCAACACGAAGTGCAACACCTAAACGAAACAGGAGAATACTTGAGAGAATTCTCCCAATCTTTTCTCTCAACTAACCACTAGTCGAATCTTTATTACTAAGTAAATAAGCTAGAAATTCCGTATCATTCATTTTCGGAATGGCTATAATCGCTTTGGTACTCATTGGTGCTACCGTTTCAATATAAATATCCAGAAATGGGTCTTCTGTTGGATCGACAAACAGCGTGTGAGACACAGAATGTGCCGAAATTGATGACCATGTTATCAATTGTACAAATAACAAATACAGACACACTACAAACAGACATTATACAGAGAAAACGAATGAAATTTAAATCAGAACTTACGAGAGAGAAATTTCATCGTATTCTTTTTGTTAATTGTATGATGATTCGAAGCGATATTTGTACCATAATAGATCGAAAAACAGATGTTAAAGACATGATTCACTTTCTCATCAATATTTACTATTCATCATATTTTTCGTCGAAGTTTAAAGACTGAAATCAAACCAATTT